GCTCACCAGCGCTGCACTTGCTCACAGCCGGCGTTGCCAACTTCCCCTATGGTCTGGAAATCCAGGAGCACCTCAGCTGTCCCTGRGCTACAACAGCAGCAGCCTCCTTTTCGGTTAGAATCGCTGCTGATGACTTACTGTGCGGTTTCTTGCGTATCTTATTAATGTCAGGGCAAATATTATGTTACTGCATCATGTAAAAAAAAAAAAAAAGTGGTATTTAAAATTTTTATGCCTGTAATTCTAGAAGTCAAACATGTGTGCCTGAGGCAGAAGTATTTACCCTGGTTTAGTGGATTTGTTGGAATGAGATATTATTTATCAATTATCTAATACCAATTTAAATCCCTTGTATCAAGTTATTTATCTGGAAATAATCCTAAATAAACAAGTATGGTGAATTAAAGTGCAATATTGTTTTAATATTGCCCAATAGATAGCATTTCTGTGGAAACTGTGTACACAATAATATATATATATAATTTCTTTAAAGATTTCTTAAGTTTGGTGAACATCAAACTTTGCTTTTTTAGACTGTGACTCCCATTCTGTGTCCACATAAATTCTCAGCTTTGCTGCCAGCAATGGGGAGGTCAAAGGGAAAGGATGCAGAGCTCTCGCGGGTCACTAAAAGCATCTCCTTCTGCGAAACCCTGCAGGTAAATACACCACGGAACAAAAGCAGTGCCCTACCTCTGCCAAGCAATACCCTCAGTTGTAATTTTCCAAAGGCAACTACTTCCTGGGTACAGTAGCTAACAAGGACGTGTAAAGGTTTCCATAAATAGCTCCAAGTATACGTAGATCTCCACGAGTGGCCTAAAGCGAACGTGCCAGCAGGACTCGCGCGGTGGCAGCGTGGCCAGCAGCAGCTCTCCTCTGCTCACTTTGGTTTCAAATAGGTAAAAGGCGCGATGGGAAGCGGCGCTTTCATACTCAGCCGTACAAGGAAAGGGAGCAAAGCGTCAGGGATTGCGCGCAGCACATGCAGTGCGGTGCAAACAGCCGGCACTGCAGCTAGCCAAATGCTCCTCAGATATGAACRTTTCAGCTTAAGGTGTTCAGCTGAAAGTAGTGAAACCAAGCGTATTAAGCACTCAATAYGGGGTTGCTGTATGAGGAGGTAATACCCACACATGAACCAGGTTCAGCTTAGCACATACTTGTAAACAGGAACCAGCACCCAGCCAGGCTGAGATCGCCTGTATCTAACACCACAAGAACTCCCTCTCTTTTGAAGCTTAMTTTTGATACAGCTCTTCCATTTCTTAAAGCCTGTCCAAAGGATGAGAGAGCAGCAGGTATCCCACATGATCACCCCTGGAAGGGCCCCTTCCCCACGGGAATCCCCTGTTTCATGCACCAGGCAGCACGGGGGCCCAAGCTCTAGGTTCACCCCCGATGTCAGTGCCGTGCTCAGCCCTGCGAGACTTGGGCACTCAGCAAAACCCTGGGCACGGGATGGGGGCCACAGTGCCCCAAAAATGCCTTAGCTGTGCGGGGCACCAGCACATATTGCTCACAGCAGGCTGAAGCTCACGTAGAGCTGGCCACGAGAACACTAGAAATCCTACTCTTATTATTATTGCTGGTTTTTCACTTGTTGCAATGACTACTTATTTATTTATTCTTGAAGGCTCAGATCACCCTGGGGCATTGAGGTGGTTGGGCTGTGCATCTGCAGCGCTGAAGGGCTAATTTATGATTGTTATTGAGAAACACAACAAATGAGTAAATAAATATATAATCCCTGGGGAATAATGACATTTGAGCAGCACGTGTAGCTGGTAGTAGGATCCTAGTTTTCCTCCTATCTGAAAAGGAAAAAAAACTCGCCTCGAGGCAAATGGCCCCATGTCGAGAGGCCCCTTGGACTTGAACAAAACAAACCGCACGCACAGAAAACCCATCCCCAAACAGTCGCCTGTAGGAGCCGAAGCAGCAGAGCGCGCGGCGCTCCCCGCTAACGGCCGGGCTAACGGACCCAACGGCCACCCGCCGCGCCGCTGCCCACAGCAAACATGGCGGCGGGCGCCCGCCCTCGCCGTCAGCGCGGCCCTTCCGGCGGCCGCTTCCGGCGGAGCCGCTTGCCTGCAACAAAGATGGCGCCGCCCGCGCCGGCGCCGGCTCCGCGCCCGGAGCC